GAATCTGTTTTGATTTTTTTAAAAAAACTGTATTTTGACCGGGGACGCGTAGTTTAGCCAAAAAAAAATTTTTTTTGAAAAAATTTTTTTTTTAATTTTTTTATATTAATACTATTTTCTGAATCTCCTTGAAAAGCTAAACATGAATCTGCTTTTATTTTTTAAAAAAAACTGTTTTTTGACCGGGGATGCGGGGTATGACTAAATACTGAATTGCTAAAATGAATTGCTAAAAAGCAATTAATCATAATCAATCAAAATTTTATTATGTATATTTTATTTAATGAAAATTTTTAAAACTTTTTTTAAAATATACTTAAATTATTTTTTTATTAAATGAAGGATACAGATTAAATATCATATAATATATAATTTTATTTTGAGTTAATATTATTATAAAAGAAATATTTTCATAGCTTATTAAAACATAAATAAATTTTTTTTAAAATTAACAAATATATATCCGTAAGAGGGCGTTATATGCGTAAATATGTAAGTATCATTTTAGGAAACCGGAATGATGATTGGATAGCGCTTTTTTTATATTTGGGTATATATACATATGATAAACCTAAAAATTAAAAAAAAAATTTAGGTTTCTTTGATGTTTAATTTATGAGTAGGTTTAGAATAGTAAAATAATGGAAATTTTCTAAGGTAAATATTGCTGGCGTTATTTATCAAAATCTCTTAATTTTTGTTTTATATGTGTATATTTACGTGCTAAGCATTATCCTAAAAAATTTTTTGAAAATATTATGATTTGACCGAATGCCGAGCTTAAAACCGACCACTTACTAAATATTCGATTGACCAAATTTACTAGTAATACAATTTGAAAAATGTTGATTTTCGTTTTATATATCTATAAATACGTATAAAACATAATCCCAAAAAATATTTTTAAAATATCGCTATTTGGCGGATAACCGACTCGTAACCGACCCAATGACTAAATACTGAATTGCTGGCGTTTTAAATCAAAGTGTATATTTACGTGCTAAGCATTATCCTAAAAAAATTTTTGAAAATATTATGATTTGACCGAATGCCGAGCTTAAAACCGACCACTTACTAAATATTCGATTGACCAAATTTACTAGTAATACAATTTGAAAAATGTTGATTTTCGTTTTATATATCTATAAATACGTATAAAACATAATCCCAAAAAATATTTTTAAAATATCGCTATTTGGCGGATAACCGACTCGTAACCGACCCAATGACTAAATACTGAATTGCTGGCGTTTTAAATCAAAATATCTTAATTTTTGTTTTATATGTGTATATTTACGTGCTAAGCATTATCCTAAAAAATTTTTTGAAAATAATTTGATTTGACCGATTGCCGAGCTCAAAACCGACCACTTACTAAATATTCGATTGACCAAATTTACTAGTAATATAATTTGAAAAATGTTGATTTTCGTATTTATATATCTATAAATACGTATAATACATAATCCAAAAAAGTATTTTTAAAATATCTCTATTTGGCGGATAACCGACTCGGTTAGTCCACCAAATAGAGATATCTTAAAATACTTTTGAATTATGTCTTGTGCGTATTTATAGATACATAAATATCTTAATTCATTGTTTTATATGTGTATATTTACGTAGCTAAGCATTATCCTAAATCAAATCTTTTGAAAATAATTTGATTTGAGCTCGCAATTGGTCAGAGCAAATTATTTTCAAAAATTTTTTTAGGATAATGCTTAGCACGTAAATATACACATATAAAACAAAAATTAAGATATTTTGATTTAAAACGCCAGCAATTCAGTATTTAGTCATTGGGTTGGTTACGAGTCGGTTATCCGCCAAATAGCGATATTTTAAAAATATTTTTTGGGATTATGTTTTATACGTATTTATAGATATATAAAACGAAAATCAACATTTTTCAAATTGTATTACTAGTAAATTTGGTCAATCGAATATTTAGTAAGTGGTCGGTTTTAAGCTCGGCATTCGGTCAAATCATAATATTTTCAAAAAAATTTTTAGGATAATGCTTAGCACGTAAATATACACATATAAAACAAAAATTAAGATATTTTGATTTAAAACGCCAGCAATTCAGTATTTAGTCATTGGGTCGGCTACGAGTCGGTTATCCACCAAATAGCGATATTTTAAAAATATTTTTTGGGATTATGTTTTATACGTATTTATAGATATATAAAACGAAAATCAACATTTTTTAAATTGTATTACTAGTAAATTTGGTCAATCGAATATTTAGTAAGTGGTCGGTTTTAAGCTCCGCATTCGGTCAAATCATAATATTTTCAAAAAATTTTTTAGGATAATGCTTAGCACGTAAATATACAAATATAAAACAAAAATTAAGAGATTTTGATAAATAACGCCAGCAATATTTATCTTAGAAAATTTCCATTATTTTACTATTCTAAACCTACTCATTAATTAAACATCAAAGAAACCTAAAAAATTTTTTTAATTTTTAGGTTTTTCATATGTATATATACCCAAATATAAAAAAAGCGCTATCCAATCATCATTCCGGTTTCCTAAAATGATACTTACATATTTACGCATATAACGCCCTCTTACGGATATATATTTTTTAATTTTTAAAAAAATTTATGTTTTAATAAGCTATGAAAATATTTCTTTTATAATAATATTAACTCAAAATAAAATTTTATTAATCTGTATCCTTCATTTAATAAAAAAATAATTTAAGTATATTTTAAAAAAAGTTTTAAAAATTTTCATTAAATAAAATATACATAATAAAATTTTGATTGATTATGATTAATTGCTTTTTAGCAATTCATTTTAGCAATTCAGTATTTAGTCATACCAGGGGATGCGTAGTGTTTTTGAAAAAAAAAGTGTTTTTTCAAAAAATCACTAAGTTATTAAATACTTTAATATATAATATTTACATATTCTGTATTCTTTTAATGATCTAAATATGAATATGTTTTGATTTTTTAAAAAAACTGTATTTTGACCGGGGACACGTAGTTTAGCCAAAAAAAAAATTTTTTTTAATTTTTTTTATTAATACCATTTTCTGAATTTCCTTGAAAAGCTAAACATGAATCTGCTTTTATTTTTAAAAAAAAACGGTTTTTTGACCGGGGACGCGTAGTGTTTTTGAAAAAAAAGTGTTTTTTAAAAAAATCAATAAGTTATAAAATAGTTTAAAATATAATATTTACATATTCTGTATTCTTTTAATGAGCTAAATATGAATCTGTTTTGATTTTTTTAAAAAAACTGTATTTTGACCAGGGACGCGTAGTTTAGCCAAAAAATTTTTTTTTAAATTTTTTTTATTAATACCATTTTCTGAATCTCTTTGAAAAGCTAAACATGAATCTGCTTTTATTTTTAAAAAAAACGGTTTTTTGACCGGGGACGCGTAGTGTTTTTGAAAAAAAAAGTGTTTTTTGAAAAAATCACTAAGTTATAAAATACTTTAAAATATAATATTTACATATTCTGTATTCTTTTAATGAGTTAAATATGAATCTGTTTTGATTTTTTAAAAAAAACTGTATTTTGACCGGGGACGCGTAGTTTATTTTTTAAAAAAATAAATTTTTATAAATTTTATTTTGTTACCGTATTTTTTTTAAATTAAAAAAAAACATTTTCTAACTCATATTATAAAGCTTAATAAGATTTCCTATTAATAATAATAAAAAGTCGTTTTGACCGGGGACGCGTAGTTTTCGGGGACGCGTATTTTAGTCATTCCCCATTTAATCATTCGTGAATTGATTTTTAAAAATGGAAAATATTGATATTTTAATGGCATGGCAACTAAAAATCAATTAGCAAAATCTCGAGGCTTATGTAATATTTTAGTCAAAATCTTTATTTAGCACTTTATAACAACACTATATTCAACATTGCAATTAACCCTTTTGTGCCCAGAATTACTTGTACTTTGATATAATAAAATAATAATTTTGACAGGTTAATGATAAAATACGAAATAATAAATATTGTTTTATAAATTAATATCTCTTTTCTTTGACAAATGATATCGCTGGGGGCGAAAGGGTTAAATGAAATTTTTAACTTTTGGAGAATAAAAAAATACAAATCATTTGTGGAAGTTGATTTTTTAAAATAGAAAATATTGATATTTTTATGGCATGGTAACTAAAAATCAATTAGCAAAATTACGAGGCTTAGGTAATATTATGACCAAAATCTTTATTTAGCTATTTTAACAACCCTATATTCAACATTGCAAATTAAATGAAATTTTTAACTTTTGGAGAATAAAAAAATACCAATCATTTGAGTTAATTTTTTAAAATAGAAAATATTGATATCTTTATGACATGGTAACTAAAAATCAATATAATCAGATTGGTGAAAAATTTTGGGATAAAATAGAACTAGCAGTCTACCAATATAACATACATAAATGATTTTTAAAAATTAGTATAAATCAAATATTTTCAAAGGTATGGCCATTAAAAATCTGACATTTAAAATATATAAATATGGGAGGGCCTAGCAAATCTTTGGCTTCTGTACAATTTTAATTGCCCAGTTTTTATTAAATCTAGAATTAATATTTAATCAAATTTTAGATATATATATCACTGACATACATGATTGATTTAGAAAAGAGTTGTTGCAGAAATAAATAGTCATAGAGGAAGATATAAAATTTGAAGAAAAAAATTAAAAGGCCTAGGGAGACCTTTTAAAAATTTATATGGGCCAGCTGGGAAGCTTTAGCAAAAATTATTAGCAAGCCAGGATTAGTCCTCTAATATGATTATATTGAAAATATATTTTATGTATTAAAAAAATTATTTTTATATCAAAAACAAATCTGGGACAAAAAAATTGACTGAAATGGTATCCTATACAATATTTAAGACATGTCCCATTGTTTTAGGTGAACCATCCTAAAAATAAAAATGCAACTTGATAGTGATAAACTTTAATAAAAACATTAATGGTAATTTTTGAGTAAAATTTAAATATACCTTAAATTAGCAATATGTTTCATAGCAACGTCAATTGCTTGAACAGGATCCTGGGGCATATCAGTCATCTTGCCCTCCCAGAACTCTTTTAATTGATATAAATTCACTTCTGTTGCATATTTAATTTTAATTTTGTATTCAAATTTTCGGTCTTCTAACATAAATTCACTCTTTAATGTCCACTTAAAAATTATAAATTATTATATGAATTAATATTTAAAATGTTTTAATAAAAATTATCATTAACATAATATCATATTTTTTTAAACTTCATCATTATCAGATAATGGCATTTTCTTTATAGTGTAAAAATTTTTATTTCCATCAAAAGCAGCAACATTATCTTTGAAAAATTGTTCTCTATTTTCCTTAACAACATGCTCAAAGATCAGCCTATTATTTTGTTTATATTGAAATGAAAATTCATTTCGTTTTATTTTTATTACCTGTTTATACTTTTTGGAATTTTATTTGGAGTTATATCAATATCATAATGATAAAGATTTTCCAAACTAATATTCAATTTGACATGATTAGCTTTTAATTTGATTTGTCGCCCATTACTTCCATAGGCAATTCTTTTGGGTGGCCGTAGGCCTGTATTCGCCTATATATTTTTTTAAAAATAATACACAAGTAAAAAAAACTTTATATTTCTGCATTGCTGGTATAGGTACAATATGTTTATCATCACCATTTCCTTTTGCTGATTTAGAATTATTCTTTCCATTCCCATTCTCACTACCACCGTTTTTATAAGGTAGTATATTTTCCATTGTTCCCTTTTATAATATAGCCAAATTAAGAATGATTTGTTTTAAAAATGACTATATAAGTAAATTATAAAAATTAAGGAAATGAAAATTAATATACTTTGTGAGTTACAGCTGCTTGTAAAATAAATTTTTTTCAAAATGGAGTATAAATATTCAGCCAATCGATTCAAATTTTTTCCAAATTATATTCATTTAAATTAACATATTTTTTGGTTTTTATTTTATATTTCTTATAGCAAGATTCTTAATATTGAAAAATATTTTTAGAAAGTAAAATTCTAGAATTATAAAGTTTATCTTTAGAAAGCAATTTTTAACAATCTACTGGTACAAATACTACTATTTTCTATCTAAAATAACTAACTTCTATAATATTGTAAAAAAAAATATTTTGATATTTTCAATTGATATAATGTTTAGATATCATTGTTTAAGGCGTTATTTTATTGTATTTTGTTTAATTTTGACTTATTGATTTTTGTGATTTTCAATATGTATTTTAATGTTATCACTGTTTAAGGCATTATTTTTTTATTGTATTTTTTTCAATTGTGACTTGATAATTGGGCATTATATATATATATATTCATTTAGAAAAGAAAATTAAATTCTTTTATCTATATAAATGATATTTTTACATAGAAAAAGATATTATCGATTTTCTTGAATAAAATTTAAAATACTATTATCGTTTCACTAATCGTTCTCATATTATTATTGACCCCCCCCCTATTTGCAACACTAACCTATTGGGCGACTCATTTAAATTTTGGTAAAACAGGCAGTCAATGTAATTAAGACTCATTTAGAATTCAAGCATCGAATTTTTTGGTGATATTTGACGTCAAGGTATGGAAAAGGTATGAAAATCTTTTTTTTGTCATATCTCTTATTCTATTAGTACATCTTCTTATACGTGGTAAATATTATCAGTTATTTTTCTATTACTTTTAAAATATTTGGACTAATTTTATTATTTCTTTTATTTTACATTATACTAACTTAATATTTACCTTGCGGACTGATTTTATTCACTTTATATAATAATAATTTAAATTCTTAATACCTTAATCGTTTAAATGATTGTTATTTTATATTAACCGATTAAGTAAATTGTTAAATTGAATTTTGTAATATATATATGTATTTAATTTATTTGATCTAGATATATTTCTTCTCTAAAAATTAACACTGGTACTAAATTGCACATTCTTATCATAATTATTTCGGTTTTTAATTTAGTGGCTGACAGGGTTGGGCAGTATCGCGGTTATTTGTATCTTTTTTAAAATTTTGGAAAGTATCTTGTATAACCAAGTTTGTATTCAAAAAAATACATTAATTTTAAAAAAAATTTATATTGGTTAATTTAAATAGTATTAAAATTTAAAATGATATTGTTTTAAGATTTAAATGAAAAATTTAATCAAAATATAGATATTTTAAGATAATTTGCTAACAATTAGAACTACCATATTTGAATCGTTTTATATCTGTCTATTTTAAAATTATGGAAGAAGAAAATAGAATAATATGTTTATCTTCGTCTTCAGATGATTCTTCAACCGAAAATTATAACAATAAATTTAAACTAAGTGTACTTAATGGCAAATTTTTTGAAGTACTTCAAGATGATCATATTAAAGAAATTCATCGTGACATTGGTATTGACGAAAAAGTTATAGCAACTGTTACAGATAACGGCTCTAACTTTAAGAAAGCTTTCAAGGAGTTTGGATATTCTATGAAAACTGTAGAGAATGACTTTGACATCAATGATGATGAATGTATAGAATTCGAAATCATTGAAAGTATTATTTAATACTTCTTTAAAATTTATTATGATATTATAAATTTAGTAAAAATTTTTATTCAAATAAAATTATTTATTTGTTTATGTTTATTTATGGGTCTAAAGAAGCCTCAATAACATTGCCTCAACACATTCGTTGTTTGTGCCATACGATAAGTCTAATTGCCACAACAGATGTCGAGAGAGATATTAAGAATTCTCCTAACATTTCTAAAATTAATCATCATGCAATAGCTAAATGTACTAAGCTATGAAATGCAAATTATAGGCCTAAAACTGCAGAACTTATCAAAGCAGTTTTAGGAAAACAATTAGTTACACCTTGTTGTACTAGATGGAATAGTATGTATGATAGTCTTCATAGTTTATTAAAATTTAAAGGCGAACTTCCTAAATTATGTCAAAAATTAGAATTTCCTAAATTAAGAGATATTGAAATTCAATATTTAGAAGAATATTTCAATTGAATGGCCTGATTGGCTATAGCGATTGACAAAATACAGAGTGAAATCAACTGCTATAATGGAGAATCAGCATTTTGAATGTCGTTAAAAAAAATTACAAATTTAATTAAAACCATTCTACAATTCATAGAAAATTATTTAAATAAAAGATTTAAAAATATATATGATTTTGATAACAATTTTAAAAGTGCATTTTTGGCAACTATTTCTCATCCCTATTTTAAAAATCGTTGGATTGATGGTGAAAAATAAAAAAAATACCTTCAGGATTTGTTATTACATGAAGTTTTAATTGTTTTTAAAAATAATATTGAAATTAATACTTCAACACTTCAATTGATGAAGATGATGATTACTTTTGCCTTAAAAGTACCACATCCAATTCTAATAATTCAATAAATGATATTGAAATAAAGGTCCTAAATTATATGAAAGATGACAGGCGGAGTATAAATATGTTAAATAGTTATAAATATATAAAAGATATTTATTAAATTTAACACAATATTACCCTCCTCAGCCCCCGTTGAAAGATTATTTAGCTTTACTAATATTGTTAATAGACCAAATCGTCAAAGATTGAACGATACATCATTTGAAAAATTAATGATATTAAAAAATAATGCTGATTTATGATGCTGATTTATTATTATTTAATAATTATATCATTATTAAATGGAATATCGAATTATCTTTTATAATAAATTTGTTATTTTCTACAATTTAATTTAAATATTTTTTTATAAATTTATATTATAGATAAGAAAATAAAGCTTTATACATTTTGATTTTGACTATTTAAAGTTTTTAAAAAAAGTATCTTGTATCTTAGATACTTTTTAAAAAAAAATATACAAGTATCTTAGATACTTTTTAAAAAAAAATATACAAGTATCTTGTATCTTATATCTTATTGAAATTTTTCTAAAGTATCTGTATCTTGTATCTTAAATACAAAATTTTACAAAGTATCTGTATCTGTATCCGAATACAATTTTCTGAAAATTTGCCCAACCCTGGTGGCTGATAATCTCCTAAATTAAATTATGGCATTGGTTAAATTATTAAGTGATCGTTTTTATTTGTAATATTATATGATCAAATATATAATTTTTTTCCAGGAAACGAACTTAAATTTTAATTAGCTATCACCCCCCCCCCCATTCCTTATAATTAAAATTTTATTTAATAAGAAACAGATTTTTCTCTATCTTCTAATTTCCAAGCGGCTTTACTATTTGCGCAAACAGGTAACAGCAGTCTTCCCAAAACTTCGGTTATATCCCCAAATATCTAATCCCATTTAGATTGAAATGCACTAAGCAGAACGGAACTGCTGTTTTATACGGGTGATTATATTTTGCCATACGTCCAGAGTTTAGATAAGTGAATGGAGGGGTGGGAGGGGGGGGAGTAGATGCAGTTTGCGTCTATTTATTTAAGGGGATTGGCATTTAGGGGATAAACTAGGACGATAGGTTAGAGGTAGGATAAATCTATTGTTGGGTTGTCCAGGGGCGGACTGGCGACGCTACGGCCTCGTGGGCATTTTTTTATAGCGGCCTCATTTTTATGGGGGCTTCGCCCCCATATTCCTAATTTTGTTTTGCTCGGCCTTCGGCCGGGTTCCCTTAAATGGCTTCTGAATTATATGATTTTTATAACTTCTTATTTTTGAAAATAGGTACAAACGATGTACATTTTAAAAAAAAGAATAATGACATACTCATATATACTTTATTTCATAAAATTGCACATCTAAAATCATATTTATTGCACAAATTAAATCATACATCACATGTTAATTATAAAATAATACATAATACTCAATATATAAAATCAATTAATTTCACATAAAAAATTATTGCAATTATACAATATTGCACAGAAAATAAAATTGCTACGCCGATCATATTGTAAATAGATATAAATAAGATTTAAATAAAAGAATTAATATAAAAGTTAATAAATCTCTCATTAACTTTGAACCTTTGCACAAATAAACAAGAATATCTTTTAGTTCAATCTGCGCTAAAAGTTCCCGTTCAACTGACATCATTAAAAATGCTTCTAATTTTTCTTGTCCTATATTTGGTCTCAGCCTATTTTTTATAATTTTTAATTTATTAAATGTTCTCTCACAATTGACTTGCGTAAATGATAAAGTTAAAATGTATTCATATGCTAAAAATAAATTAGTGTAAGCACTTGTATGCATATTGTATCTTTTAATAATTTCGTACACACATAATAAACACTTGTTACATCTATTATCACATTTTGAGTTATTATCATTTTGTAATATTCCATCTTCTTCATATGAATCCTCACTTGTACATACGATATCATTGTCCGTTTCATTTAATTCTTCCACTAAATCTTTGAATACACTGGCAAATGAACACAATTCGTTACGTAATTTAACACTCGATATATTTGCCATGTGCCAGTTTTTCTAAGGCCTTTTCAGAAATATCTTTACTATTTATACCCTCAAAATGCATTGGATGCAAAATATTGCACATTCAAAATAAGCTCTTTATTCGCAGAAAACCGTTCCGACAAGCTGTTTATAATTTGATCAATTATAGGACGAAATACTTCGACCCTATGAAGGTCAATCGATTCTTGAGGACGTTCATCTTGGCCTTCGTCACTATTTATTCTCTTCACTCATCCTATTCGATTTTTTGGCAGAGCAGTTTGTACCCAGATACTCTCTGGGAGCTTTTATTATGAAAGTGTTCCATTTAAAATAGAAGCCATTTTTTTTGTTTTATTTTCAATTGAAGTAATAGTTATAGATGGCACAGAAGACTTGGCATCTTCTATCATTTTCCACGCTGATAAAATATCTAAATTCTTAGTTTGAAGATATAATGACAATGGCCTCA